GCGCAAAGGTACGCAATTAATTGTTTCAATTTGTCGAGCATGTGTTTATTTGTTTTAAAGCCGTTTAAATCGCATAAAATTTTTGTTTTCCGCTGCGTACACGTGCCTGATTCCCATCAAATCTAGCCCGATTATATTTTCCCAAAGGTAGATCACAATCAATCATATCCACAATATGACCCTAAATTAATTTTCCTCAGACTTGATAATGACCTAAGTTAATCTCGCGAATATCAAAATCGTCGTGTGTCAAGTCTAACCTACCAATCAAAGATGCTCATAGAACTTGATTATGCCAAACTAATGCAGTCCCTAGTTAATCTAGCCGACCACATTAATCCAACATAATCCTTTTCTATGGCTACCTTCATCACTATGTCAATTGAATTACAGCTTACTCCACCATAGCACTCCCCGCTAAAGGAAAGAAATAACTCAACAGATTGGGTTTTTCATTATAGCTTGAAATGATTCTTAATTAGATTAAGAATGAGGGATTTTTATTAAAAAGTTTTATCTCATCAGAAGGTTCGGATTGGTCTATGTGATTCCTACACTTATGTTCTCTAAAGGTATATGGAAACGCATATTGTCCTAAGAGGAATATACGACCTAACTACATAATTAATTACATTAATTAATTATCGGGTTTTTCAAAATAATTTTAGAACATCAACTAGCATAAATCATTCATATAATGTTAAGGTACTACTAATTAAGTTGAACTTATAATAAATATTATATATGTGTTCTATTAATTGAAATCAATTTAACGATTTAAATTAATTAATTAATCTAACACCTATTTACTAAAATAGATTGTGACACCCCTTTTCTAGTTATAACTAATTAGTATTTTGGAATATGATAGCGGAAGACTTTGAAATTTATTAATCGGAAATAGAAAATTCGGACAAAATTTTTCTTTTAGAATCAGAGTAAGAGTGTCCACATATTAACAAACAACATTCACTTAATCAATTTCACAATCTATGCATGCATGACTAGAGATTAAGTCCCATTTTAGCAAAGTGAGGAAATTTTGGACAGTTTAGATCTATCAATCAAACAAATTAATAACTCTCTAACCGCTCGTGCAAAACACTTGAAATTTTTACCACATGCTCTAATAAGGGCCTAAATTATCTAGTAAAAACAATTTTTAAATACATTGAGCCATTTAAAAGGAATAACTAAAATAGTACAACTGTACAATTTGAAAATCTAAAACAGAGGAGTGACCTTTGAAAATTCTTTATAAATTCCCTACTATTTCAAAAATCATAAAATTCTATACTAAAGTACATTAGTAAGTAAGGAGTTTATACCAAGTGGAATAAATCTTTTTGAGGGATAAAAACTTCGTATTTTGTTGTAAATACTACAATGACTCTGTTTCAGAGAAGTGTTGGTAAACAATTCGTAATTAATTCATGGCTTATCCAAATAATGCAAAAGATCTATCAACATGAACCTAACAAATAGACCTATGATGCTGTAAAATTTCACGCAATGATGTATACAAGAGATAATTAACACGAATTATTAAACTATTAGGCAGAACACAACACATAACTAGCCGATGGGCATTTTATAAGGTTTTTAGGAAAACTTGCCCTAAAGTTACAGAAGTTTTTGAGTAATACCATAACATATATCAAAAGAGGTAATTTTACTCCCAAGTAACATTACATATTATGCATCAATAGTAAGTTCCTCCAATAGGCGGGAGAGAACGATAATAAACACCTAGAACGGTGTCGAATATCCTTAATAGCAAATTGTACAAATAAAACCACATTAGTATATTAAGAGCACCCAAAATCCACCATGCCTTTATATGAACTCTTCTCCCGATCCACGAACTCAACTTCAACCACGATCCTCGGGCTCGAAATCGGGTAATCCTACAAGCAATTCAACACCTATATGAGTCTTTGAGACTCAATGAGAATTCCATAGAATATCAAATACACTTAGACAAGGAATCATATAATCATACATATACATACATAAACAAGTACACATATACCTCAATCACCATTTCTTTAAGAAAATTTACCGATTTACCGTTACCTTCTCGGTTTACCTCTTAGACCTTTTCGATTTACCTCTTAGACCTTTCTTTCATCATTTCATAAGGAATAAGAGGAGATCCCTTAAAAGGGAGTCATTCTTTTACACATACATTCATTCATTTCAAGCAAGTTCACTAGGTGTGTGAGAAAAACATTTTTATTCGGATATCCTTTGGAAAATCAAGTAAAACCATAGACAATAAGCCTTCATTTATTTGGAACCCGTTTCATAAGTGGAATCAAACCACACACTCTTCATCTCATTTTTTGGGTACCGGTCCCTCATACCCCGTGCTTATTCGATCTATGTTTTACAAGACTTTCCAATTTTAAAAACGTGCAAGTGAGGTTAGTACATACTTTCATTCAACTCAAGCAACTTGATTAGTTGTGTCAGAAAAACATTTTCGTTCAGATATCCTTTGACAAATCAAGTAAAACCATAGACAATAAGCCTTCATTTATTTGGAACCCGTTTCATAAGTGGAATCAAACCACACACTCTTCATCTCATTTTTGGGGTACCGGTCCCTCATACCCCGTGCTTATTCGATCTTGTTTTACAAGACTTTCCAACTTTAAAAATGTGCAAGTGAAGTTAGTATATACTCTTTATTTCACATATTCAAAGTTAGCTTTCACATAAGCACACATATTTCCACATATTTCACAAAGGCACATAGAATTAGTCACAAAATCACAAAAGCAAGTAAGACACATAGCAACTCAAGCAAAGAACATAGATCACAAAAGCAAGTTTTCTTTCAAGTAGCACCAAATTTCCGTTTATTTCATTTTCTTTCCAAAATATTCGAACAATCAACAATTCCATCACAAAAAAAAATTCATTTTTATTCATCTTGTTCTCGGTTTTTATCTTTGTATATTATCTTATTACTCATAGATCATAAACCATGGATCGTAAGCTTCCTCGACCCGAAGGGAGTACACTTACAACCACGTAGGTCGATATATATACTCATAGAAACATATACTTATATATAGCACATCTAGATTATAAATAAACCATGGATCAAGTACTTTCTTCGACCACGCAGGTTTACGAAAACCATGGATCGAAGATTCCTTAAGATCACGCAGGTCTAGTATATATATACATACATAAACAAAAAAATTCAATTATCATATAATTCTTAGTTCTTCAAGATTATTTAAATTAAAGCTTAGATCATTACATGCATGGATGATCTAACAATAAACAAGTAAAGTACTATAACTTCCCAAATTTTGGGCCATTAATATTGGTGAAGAATCACTTGTAGCAAGAATATGGAATTCTGACCTAGTTTCTGTTGAGAATATGAAGGAATTGGTGGATTGAATAACCCACTACAAGAACCTTGAAGAAATTATACATAAATTAGAAGAAAACATTAGGGAATTTTCGAAATTGAAAAGGAAGAAGAAAAATGAAAGCTTTCTTACACTTTAGTTGAAGAAACTTCTTTTTTTTTTTTGGAAATGAGAGATTTTGAGTTTCCTACACTAGAAATGGAGGAGAAAAAGAGAGAGAATGATGTTTTCTTAAGAGCATTAAGATATGGTGGAGGAGATGAAAATTCACTTGGGTGTTGGGTTCTATTTATAGAGTTTTGCAAGCATTTGGGGGTGTTCTTGGAATTTCCTCTTTAGGTGGGTTGGATTGGAGATGGTTCTATGGCTTGAGCTTGAGTAAAAATGGAGTCTTGGTGAGAGGATGGTGGTGATGGCCGAATTTAGGGAGAGAGGAAGAAGAAAGAGAATGGGTTTCAAGTGCTTAGGTGGAAAGAGAGAGAAAGTGGGTCTTGAATTAAAAGGTAAAGTGAAGTACCATTCTCAATGAAGAAGGTACAAGCCACTTAAGCCTTCAATTCTCCCAATTAATGAGTCTTTCTACATTAAAGAATTGTACACATGGAAAATAAAATCCATGTGTGTCTCCACATGGCCGAAAATTACAAGAAGAGTGGGAAAAATTTATTTCTAAGTTTGTTCACGCATTTAATTATCTAATATGCATGAATTTATTCTTTTTCTAAAAATTTAGTGTATGCATAAATATAATCCAACTATCCAAATTAAATTCTAGAATGCAATAATCTAATTAAAATATGAAAATTTTCAATTAGTTATTTTTCGTGTGAAATTTTTCAAATATTCGATCCTAATAAATCAACTAATCACATAATTTAAGTCACACATAAAATACATCAAGAATGCATGTTTAATTATGCTAGCTCATAATAAATTATCCTATTAGCGGACATAAAATTTCTAAACGTAAGATCTACTTATGAAAAAAAAATAATAAAAATATAAAACGAGTTATCTGAAAGGGCGGAGTGTTACATAGATGATTGTTGACTCGATTATCTAATTGGGATTAATTGAAAATAATTTTCCAACAATTAAAATCAATTTGTTTTAAGTTTAATTTTAGAAATCTGATTTTTTTTTTTTTTCAGTGAACCGAATCGGCCCAACCGGTCTGACTGGTTCGGACCGAAGCGGTCCGGTTTTGCCCGGTCCAGATGACCCAAATTAGTGGGCCGGGTGAGCCAGACCGAGAACTGGTG